GATATAAAACTATAAGTATCGATTCATCAACTGGAAATATTTTTAATTCACGACGCATAGAAATTCTTGGAAGCATGACTTTCTGATTGACAGATTCAACAGATACATAAAGCCGTAGAAATGACCAAATGACCCAAAGACCAAAGAGTCAGAAATTAATTTCACTAGTCCGAACACAAGAGATTGAAATTTAAAGAAACAGAGAACTAAAGAAGATGGATTGGACACACTCTGAAGAGACCGGTGAGTGGCTTCACTCTCCACGCGCTCGAGTGGAACGCTAATGGGAAACGACGAGTTGGGTGTCCAACACTGACCTGGAGGAGATCGTGTGGGAAGGTGAAAGCTTATCGGCATTCGTGAACCAAGATAAAAAGACTGAAGAGGACAGGGTGAAATACAGATGTACTGCTGAAGCCCTGTGTTCAACTTGGAACCCAAAGGAATAATAATAATAAATACAGGAGACATGGACATGATGAACGTAACTTATATTAACGAGTACCTTTTTATTTTCAACAACCTATCAATCCGGAACAGTGACTTGATTCGATTAAAAGTTTGCTCAAAAAGTCTTGTCTCTAATTCAAAACTTGTGAGAAACAATGCACTGCTTCTAGCCAAACAGTACACAAACGAATGTTAGTGGAGATCCAGATAAGTAGTACAGATTCGATTCTAGCTCTGGGACATCAACACCAGCAAGGTTCGATACTGACTCAGAACTGTACAGTGAAACTGACACTTCAAGCAATATAAATAATATTAGTACTTAGTGTAGCAGAATAACTGATGTGGAAATCCCTCTTTGAACTATTTACCATCATATTGCTACTTATATGAATATTTCAACTAATTTTGTAATTATTACTCTTTTTCTCCCGACTTAAATAATGTATCATCGTTCTAAAATTTGTATGTCCTCTCTCGATTTAATTCTTGCTATCTTTGTCTTTGGTGGACTCTCATTTTTAATGCCTCATTGTACTCTTGTTTTACGACCTTGCTTGGATGAACTCAATCAAGGTTATGCCGTGGGGTGACTGCTTGACTTCACACTGTCAGTAGGAAACATATTTCGTTCTGTTCTGTTTGATTCTTGCAGACAGAGTTTAGATCCTACCATTTCAGGAATATTCTTGTCAATTCTCAGTCTGCATTCCGTACCTGAAAAACATTTGGACTGCATAGTTTCCGGACGGCACTATTGAGGCTTACCACAGATTCTGTCAGTCTCAGATGTGTTTTAGCATTCACTCCTTATGACTTATAATACCCAATGAAACTATATTGCTATTCCTTTTGTCTCATATCCCAGTTTACTGTCTCCATTTTACATTTCTTCTACTTTCTTCTCTTGCTTTGTGTGCTACATGGAGTGAGTGTGGTGACTCAAACTGCTGCACATCAGTACAAAGTTCTATGTTGAAAACAGACAGACAGACAGTTTTGGCATTGTTGGAATATAATTTTCAACTGTGAGTTCCTCTTGGAAGTTTGGCAAGCTACACAGACGAATGCATCGATTGGTTTCCTGACTTCAGACTGAAACACTTGGGCTTTACTCATTACAATTAGGATTGTAATTTATCTGAGACTATATATATCGTGTACTTGCCACTTTCACCTAAGAGGATTCAATTCAACCTATTTCAAACTGTAATAGCCCCTATATATCTTTGACAGGTGCAGTTGGTTCGCGTTGGTAATGTTCATGTGCACTTTACTACAACGAAGTTAACTATGATCTGAGATATCATTGGTAGTTTTCAGTACAGAAGTTTAATTCATTTATGGACTTATATCAACTTGACTGTTTTGCAAACCTAGTAACTCATCATTTAAAAAAATAATAATAACTATACAGAATGGAATTTCCAGCGTATTTACAGATATTGCAACAATTTAGCTCCTTTTATAAATATGTACACATATAAAACTTAAAATAGTCATAATGATATTAGTAATGCATTTACTATATACATAATGTTGGTGGGAACACAATTAACTACATATATAGATAATGTCACAGATAACACATGTAATAGTAATAATAATAATAGTAATCTTTGCTTGTACTTTGCAGTTCAGTTACTAATTTAAAAAGTTTATAAGTTCTTTTCTGACATCTAACTCTCTCTCTATTCACACAAAACCCGTGCTAAATATGGATTTTTATATTTATATAATATATAAGTATAAAACTTGGGCACTATGGTAGAGTATAACTCCATTATGGATAAGATTTTATTTTGATAAATCATACAGTGTTATACAGTAATGTTCACTGATGACGTTTCGAGCATAAACTATTGCCACTCATAATCATGTCAAGTTACTCACACAACTTTTTTCCTTCATTTATATACATGTATGGAATTGACTACATATTTGAATAAAAATCAATATGGGATAATGTACATTCAGAAATAATAATATGAGTGTTATCAGTCAAGTACAATCAGATAGGAAATGAGACGAGTGTTTTTATAGTCATAATAAGTAACTTGTTAGAATGTTATGATGTACGTGAATTGAAATAGAATTTTAAGATTATTTATTATCCTCTTCTGATTTGGCTTGCGGTTCACTGAGTCTACACCCAACACATGCAACAAAAATGACTCAATGCAAATACCAGAGATGTGCATGGAAGATATTATTACCACCAGGAAGCAGATCTACACCACCACCACCACACACTTTCTTCAGTGCTGACTGTAGAATGTCATCGACAGCAAAGTTAAACAAAAATGGAGAAATTAGACAACCCTGTCTGACCTCCCATTGTTGGTTGGGAACAGTGATAACAGCTGGTTGTATGCCCTTACTCTACCTGAGGTGTTTTTGTATAGGGCTTTCAGGATGTTAACAAACTTCTCAGGTACACCTCTCTCTCACTCTCTAACAGACAGTTGCAGAGCATAGTTCTGTCCAACGTATCGAAGACAGCTATAATATCAAGAAACACATATCCAGCCGCCAAGCTTGTATGTGTTTATCAAACCACTAGTTGTTTGAAACAATCAAAAGTGGACAAATACCCACCTCATGTTACCTCCAACTGTGTCTACCAATTTACATGTACGTGCCAAAGCACATACATCGGAAGAACAGAGAGAAGGGTTATTGTCCGCATTTCTGAACACATACCAAAGAACCTGAGACTGAAAGGTCCACAAGTATTAAACAGTGCAACTGCGCGTCATCTATTAGACACTGGTCATAATGTAGACAACTTGAAGTCATTCTAAATAATCAACAAGCAAAAGAAACCTAACTTGCTACGCTTTGCTGAAACAATTGCTATCAGACGACTTAAACCAAATCTATGTACGCAGAAAGAGACAGTGGTGAATCTTGCACTGCCCTGGTGACAACAAAATATACAACTTGTATGAGTCACCTTTTTCTTGTTTAGAAAACTCTACTCTCTCATCTAAACGTGACTCACCCTTTCTTGTTCTTTTCTCTTCCTTTTTTTTCTATTGGCTATTAGATAAAGCATTTTCTTCAGTTACGTAATCTACCTTTTTAATATGCTATATATATATATATATATATATATATATACAACAGCTTGTTTTTGTTTCCAAGCCTAATTGCCTAATTATTCTATAAATATTTATGAACTGTCAAATATTGATCACAGTTCATTTTAATTATTCTATAAATAGTCAGTGTTTGTAACTCTTAATTAGTTAAATCATTCCGGACTAATGTTACTTTTACTTCCTACCAATTACTCCTTGTGATCGTGGAAAAGTATGTTCAAATCTTTAATGTAATGTAATTCATATTTTTTATCGTTCAGGTTGTAACCAGTTGAGAAGAATCCTCGAAATAATAATAAAAGATGAGCTCATATTATCCTGATACAATTGTTGTTCTTGCTTTGTTCAACACAAGGATTGTTGGCCTGCAATACGTGTGACGGTGTTCCAGCAACTGACGAAGGGTGAACACATAGGGTCAATGCATTCACGACCTGGACAAAACCCAATCTACTACTGGTGAATCAGTTCCTCACGTGTTTTGCATTGGGAATACTAAGCCAATTATTGTTTGGTGTCAACTGACAGAAAGCTGTGAACCTAATTTCCACGTACACAACAGAACGGTTGTGATCTATTCGGCTTAGTAGTGAGTAGTGGCGCAACTTTGGAATTTCGGGGAGATTCAAACAGATATTTCAAATTCATACTGTGATAAAAAAAATTTAGACAACTAGATAAACGCGATGGAGAGTATAGAGAGAGTATATATTATGCAAACACTCTTCAGTCTTTATTTTACACGCACACACGCACACAATAGAGTATGAAAGAAGAAGACGAGGAGGAGGGGAAAAAGAGGCGAAAATAACAATACAACACCTGAATAAATATCACTGAAAACACCAACTACTACTATTATAGTCGCATGAAAGAAATATCTCTTTCATTATATATTATTAAAAGAGTTCCAAATCAAATATTTACATATAATATGTATTGAAATCTAATGCTATCCTCATAAAATATAGCATAGGTAAGTATTGCTAGTAAAGTAGTAAGAATAAGAATAATTAGAAACAACGTGTGACACGCTAATTCAACACAAAATCTGTGAAAACGCTTTTCCTTATTATTATCTTACAACTATTATTCTCTGGTAAATAGGTGGTGGCAATAAGATAAATAATAGGAAAGATGCAAAAGTAAGCAATAAGCTGGAGAGAGGAAGACAAAAAAAAATTGTAAAAAATTAACAGTTTCATATTAAGATAAAGTAGTTAGGTAAATAATAAATATAATCCGCATTGTTTCCATATTCTTTATGGTTCACACACACACAAACAGACAAAGAAGTGCATTCATCACAGACATGCATGAATACTATACACATACACACTCACACACACATAAAGCATATAAGTTAGAGAACACAAAAATCACACACACAATAGAAGAAATAAAAAGATAAGATTGATAAATAAATAAATAAAATATGCACACATCTTAAATATTTGCAATATGAATTTGCCAAGCCAACAGTAGACCATCAAAACCAGTTGAGAAAAAGTTGTGCACACCTTCATTTGCCCAAGAGACGCAGGTTACCATACGAGAGTGACCCTGTACAATACATAACGAGAGAATACAGAAAAAAAATAGCTCAGATTATAAAGTGTAAGCTAGCTACATTAAGACAATATACTTTCTAAGCTGTCATTTTGTAGTACATTTGATATTCTTCTGGTATTGTTTCTTTTTTCTTTCTTGAAGGTGAAAACAAAAAATATATATATAAGCACACACAATATAGGAAGTCAGCCTATTGAGTAGCGGCGATCCAAGTCACGTGCTAAGTGGTATAATATTGAGGTTGGGCGTCCAGTACTGAATAAGAAGGGGAAATCAGTAAACGAGGCTGTGAGTTTACACTAACTGAGATGGTTAGGACATGTGTTACACATGCAACCCTAGCAACCACCTTCCTCGAACGGCAGTGTTAGCTGACATAGGATCAGCTTAGGAAAGTGGTGGTCAAACCAAAACATGGCATCATAAGTCGATAAAATCCGCAACTTTTAATTTAAGCCAGCCACATAGGTAGGTGTCGATTTCCTAGTTGGGATCCTCGGGATGGTAAAAACAATTGGTGATATGTCTCCATTATGGATATGATTTTATTTTGATAAATCACACAGTGTTGTACAGTAATATTAACTGATGACGTTTCGAGCATAAACTATTGCTCATAATCATATCAAGTTGATATGATATGATATGATTATGTGCAATAGTTTATGCTCGAAACCTTATCAGTTAATATTACTGTACAACACTGTGTGATTTATCAAAATAAAATCATATCCATAATGGAGTTATGCTCTACCACAGTGCCCAAGTTTTATACTTTTATCAATTGGTGATATGGCTCGAAATCGTTCTCTATAGGTGGCGCAGATGTATTCACTCTTTGTGATTTATCATATCCAATAAAATTCTATTGCTCTTCCATATTTCTATTCTTTTTGCCTCATATTTCTGTTTATTATCCCTCTTCTCTTGCTTCATGTGCTACATGGAGGGAGTGTGGCAAGTCGAACTGCTGCACATCTGTGCAAATTTCTACGTTGAAACTAGTCAGTCAGTCCAAATTGCACAAAGTCGTAATAAAAAGATTGGCAAACAATGTTAAGGATAATGCATATAATACAGAAGTCGTAGAGTATTAAAGGACACGGCCGCCCCACAGACAACCTGATACGACCGAGAGTAGGCAAATTTCGGTCCTCTCCAAATGCTTTTATATGGGGCCACGTATTTGTAGCCTCATTTTGCAAGGTAAATCCTATTCACTACCTTCGTGCGACAGGAGCGTTCCTCACAAACCTGAAAGGGCGAATGCAGGTACAACAAGACTAATGGGCATGCTTGTCTATCTAGGGGGAGGCGGCTGGAAAATCCTGACCCTAAACCTGTGTGCGTTCATGGGGGCTCCACAATCCGAACGGATCGAATGACGTGTGGGCCTGTTTCAATCATCGCCAACAATTAAAAGTCACCTCCTGATGCTGCTACACTGCCTTGTGGATCAGTTAGCGAAAATCCAGGTTTTTTAAATCATTCAAGTTTGAGTTGAGTCAATATGGATACATTAAATGAAATTTACAATTTGCAAATTAACACAGTTCAATGTGGGGTGAAATTTCACCACAGTTTCCTTTGGGAACCAAAATTATTCGGATCTGAGTGATCTGCTTCAGACCATAAGTGGCAATCAAGAAAGTAAGCAAATTTGCATAAAACTGCCATATACTACTGACTAATTGAGATAAGTAGTTGCGTAACACTCATAAAAACCATTATTGCTTTCCATCCAGATCAAGGTGATCCAAACACCGGACGGCCGTTCCTCGAGTACACTGCTGAAAAGCTCGCCCCCAAACGAGCGAAACGGCCGTTCGGTGTTTAGATAACCTCGATCTGCCTAGCTAGCACTACCCAGATGATAAGAGTGGTACATAACAACTCGCCTCAGTCACTCAGTAGTATATATATATATATAATTCGGATACACCACTAACACACTTGATCCTAAACGAGTGAAACAGGCGTCAGGTGTTTTAATCACCTCGATGTGACTTGGCGAGCACTATCGGGTAAAATGAGGATTATATTTATTCCTTGTAAGATTTCACTTTCCTGTTTTGTTTTTTTTTGGTTGGAGGATTTCATCATGAGTTGGCCTCAGTTAGGAAACCACTGGAAAACCTGGGAGTACTGACAGCTGTTTCGTCCCAGTTTTGGTCTCTTCAACAGTACGCACCCACCGCCGGGGTTCGAACCCAGGATCTTCTGATTACAACGCGAGCTCGTAGACCATTATTAAGTCACTGGAACCCGATCCAATGGCCCATGAATTCTAACTTCTGCTTAGCTCACCACACACCAACACACACCAACCCTGAACTGAGTTATTACTGGCCTTATTATTTTTCTTTTTAGTACGTTGTGTGCATTTACAACAAATAGTCATCATTTATTTAAGACTTTCTTCGGTATAAGTTGTCAATTTATTATTCCATCTATTATATATGTAACTATGTCATCTTACCAAAAATAAAAACTTGAATTAATCCACTCACAATTCTCTAAATCTATATTAATACCAACCAAAATTATATTCGCTGCAAACCATACATAACTAACTATTTATTAGAAGGGAAAATTGAGTTTCACAACTTTATCGCATGTTTATTGAGCACTATATACTTGGAAACAGTAATAATAATAATAATATATTCATTCCAGTATATATGCAGATGTACAATTTGTATGCTAATAATAGTCGAACCGAAGTGAAACTACAGTAGAACTATAAATCAACTTTCTAGCTTTATTTAAGATATATATATATATATAATGAGACTAATCTGATAGCATAAAGCCTTAGGCTATGGAAAACATGAGGTAAAACGTAAGCGAATAAATGAATCAAAGTCAATTATTGATTGAAATAAAAATGAGGTCTACTTAGCGGTTAAACTTTTACTGAATCATAATCGATGCAAACTGGATAGCTTCTTTGCCGGACATAAGCCATGGTCTTCTCCCCACCCATATGTCAGACAGTTGTTACCTTCACCTTTGGACATACACGACGTGATCTACACGAATTTGTTCGTCCACAAGATGCGAACTGTAGTAGTATAGAGGGCATTGAAATAGAAACTAAGTAAAGCATTGAATACCTTGGAATAGTTCTTTCCTCTGATGTTTCTTGGTCATCCCGTATCTTGTCAATTTCTAAGGAAATGTTCGGTCTAACCTTCTACATTAAGAAGTTAAGACAATCAAGTAGGTATCATTCGACCTTTGTGTTTCTATAGTCTTGTAACTCTTACATCTTACCTCTTTCCTGGGCTACTCAAAAAGGATTATGTCATACCGTAAAGCGTATTAAAAGTTGTCAGTAGGGCAAGTGGCATGGCCACTAAGTCATCTCGTTATCACTGTAATCTTCAGCAGTACGCACCCACCGGGATTCGAACCCACTACCTTCTGATTACAAGGCGAGCTCGTAGACCACTGAGCCACTGGGACCCGATCCAACGGTCCTTGAATTCTAACTTCTGCCAATTCACGACATAGTGCGACCATTTCGCAGTGTCTTCTTCGATGAGTTACTGCCTCATCTTCAACCTGCTGTACCCTACTGGTCACGGCTTCCCACTAGAACCCCAGATTAATTGCCTGAATAGAGCCAGTCACCAGTGAGCATCAGATTATTTTTCAAGTATTGGTTTTGTAGGGATTTTGTTTGATTGCATGGATTGCTGAAGAGTCCCAAACTAGGACAAAGCAGCTGTCCAGTACTCCCAGGTTTTCCAGTGGTTCTCTAACTGATGTCAGCTCATGATGAAATCCTCCATGCAATCAAACAAAATCCCTACAAAACCAATACTTAAAAATCACTGTGATCGACAAACAAACTGACGTGAGAAATGGCCTAAATCCACATTGTCTGACTGTCAGCACCCTTTCGATTCACAACTCTTCCCCCGCATCTCATCAATTAGGATTAAAAGTCATTATAAAAGACCATATACTTGCATAACTACGTATAAAAATTCAACGATACCCTATTTCCTCCGTGTTCTATGTAACAGAGAAATCGTTAAGCATGGAGAGAGATGACTTACTGTGTTGTAATTAACAAAATAAATGGCTCTTTGAGATCTCCTATTTGTAATTAATGGTGACAGTATTTCCATTATTTTGTAAATTTAGTTATTATTATTATCATTTTATACATTTTGTACACTTTGACTTTAATATTTACTGCTATTGCCAAAGGTATGCCATTATCAGTGTTGGTTACCTATACCGCATAATGTTTTTTTCTGAGTAAATCAGATGCAGTGTTATAAGAAATGCTGGGAACTCCATGTTGTATCATAAGTTCTGTTTTGAAATAAAGCAAGTCATTATTTACAGGATTTTCATCATGAGCTGACATTAGTTAGAGAACCATTGGAAAACCTGGGAGTACTGGACAGCTGTTTCGTCCTAGTTTGGGACTCTTCATCAGTACGCACTCACCGAGGTTCGAACCCAGGACCTTCTGGTTACAAGACTAGCGAGCTCGTAGACCATTAAACCACTGGAACCCGATCCAATGGACAGCCCATGAATTCTAACTTCTGCCAATTCACGACATAGCGCGACCCCTAGCCAATGTCTTCGGCGAGTATTTATCCTCACACCCGACCTGCTGCACCCTACTGGTCACGACTTCTCACTAGAACCCCAGGTAACTACCTACCAAGTCATTATTATTATTATTGACAGGGTCTTATCCTGACCCTGACCCATAAAATTATATTGCCTAACATACAAAGATTAATCGTATATTTCACGATATTACCACCCTATTTAAAGAGATGACCTCAATTATTATTGTTATCAAGAAATCAAAAAGCTTTAGTAAATAAATGAAGACTATCTATCCTGTATAAACCATTATAAATACTTACATGTGATGATCTGGTTAGCCGGCCGATTCGATTGCCATTCACATCGAACAACTTTATGCCTCGATTAACAAGCGGCAGGGCAATATACTTGGGAAAATTGGAAGTCCAAGAGTTAGAAAATGAAGTGACCAATGAAGATCCATGCTGAGGTGCTTGTGATGGAACAGAAGAAGCATATTGTGCATCGTTTGAAGAACCAGTTGCTCCAGGTGATGAAATAGGAATATTAGATTCTGTTGGTTGGTTTGATAAATTTAAGCCATAACCAGATAATGATAATCGATTAATTGCTGCATCAGTTCTGATACTCACAACAGGAACACGACTTTGTCTTAAATCCCAAAGACGACAGAATTTATCAGCTCCAGCACTGATGAGACGTTCAGGAGAACCAGGTGTCAGAAACTGAGTGGTTGAAACAGTTCTAATATTCCACAAATGTGCAAAAAAAGGAAAGAAAAAAACAAGAATGATATACATAGGAAGCTGAATCGTGAAATTTTAATATACATATTTATATTACAAAGTGTAACTTACTGGCTGTGAGCTTGTTGTACATGGACGCGCATTCCTGGTTGACGGAAATCCCATAAACGAAATGTACAGTCTCTTGAAGAGGTGACAACAACAGCAGATCCACTTGGTTCACAGCGTACATCTGTTAGATAGTCATCATGTCCAGTAAGAGAGTCTAACTCTTGGCCAGTTGCAAGATCGTATGTTCTACCTAAACGATCCCATGATGCTGTTACTAATTGTTCTCGCCCAGAAACAAAATCTGCAGCAGACAAAGGAGATGAATCAATAGCATTGCAACCAGACGCCCCAACAGAATTCCATACTGCACCAGACGGGGAAAGATATAAATTAGCAGATTGAAATATTGCATGAGGATGACGAACCGTAATCGGTGGAACAGCTGCAACACGAACTGGAGAACCTTGATTCAAAATAGAAAAAATTTCAACTTTAACCCAGAAAATTAATAAAAGATCAGTTTTTCGAGTAATATACAATGAGAATAAAAAGCCAAAATACAAACACCAGTATTAAAGATGAATGTACGCACCTTCTTCTGCAGGACCAACTGGTAAGTTCGCAGTTTCGTCAAAGTCGTTTATGTAAGCTGATTCAAGTCCAGGTTTGTTAACGGCTGCTATAATGAAAAGGAAATGAAAAATACGATATAATATATATAAAACACTACTGTATTACATGATATCCCATCAAATTCAAACAGGCTAGAAGTATGATACTCATGAGGAATAACTCTAAATGGTTAGAGGCAATCAGCAGGAAGCCATGCTTGGCCTAGGCTTCGCAATTGCTGACACTCGTCAACAAGGCGCATCCGTAACTTTGGAGTAACTCATACTCCCTATGGAATTCGAACACGTGTCACCCAGTGCTACAGTACGAGAAGTTACCACCAAGTTATTCAGGATTACGACTGACCTCATGTAGAACTGTGATGGGTACACTAGAGAGTGAAAATAACTCAAAATTGATTAAAAGCAATCATACATTAAAATACTTTTAATGCATCTAACAGTTGGTTTTGTTTATGCTAATAACACTTAAAATTGTATTCCTTCATGTTTGTTGAACTTATTAGATAATAACAAATAATCATTAGGGTATAAAAAAGTGGATTCCCATTCTAAATCTTGTATAATGTCGAAACTATCATCCTACTATCCACAACTTGTTATTTCACTATTTTAGTATACACTATAATTGCCAGCAAATCCACATTGTTGACGTTCACTTGCCCGGAATACATTTACCATGTACCAGGTTAAGAGGTATACTTATAGCATGAGGGCTGGAGATACCGACCAAATGACTATAATGAAGTAGGTGGAACGGGACTTGAACCTGTGACCCAACGGTTGAAAACCAAGTGCCTGAGCCACTGAGTCTTATCTCCACACTAAATTCACAAATAATGGATGGATTTAGCGAATTAGGTGTTGGAATTATTCATTATGACGGTATAATTTATTGATAACAGAATGAACAGAAAAATCTTTACATCTAATTGGTGAACAACCGTGGGTAACATGAATTTTTACGGTAACATTTGTATACTACTTGAAGTAGTAACAGTAGTTTAAATCCGTGATTCAAATTTTCACCAAAACCTTTCATACTCGATGATTTCACATATCTATCAATTATTATAATGCAGCCTATACTTAAGATATGTCAAGCTTGAACCATTTGACAACGCTCACAAATACTAATTTCAGATTGTATACACAAGATATTAGTACATGTCTCAACAGTATACAGAAGGAAATAATATGAAAGCTGGGAATAGAATAAGGATATATATATATATATGCATATACTGCCAGCACTTCTGTAGTCAGTATAAAGAACAAGACTCGGATTTTCAACACAAATGTGAAGTCAGGCAGTCAGTTCTATACGGGTCAAGAACTTGCACTGCGTGTCACGAAAAGGATTTCCGATAAGCCATCCTGAAGATCAAATGGCCAGTAAGCCAGCCAGAAAGAACTAGCAGCAAGAAACTCTGGCTGGAAACAAACCAACAGGCGACAGCTGATCGTCCGACAAATATGTAAGAGAAAATGGAGATGGATTGGTTGAGAATACGTTGAGGAGGCCGTCGAATGAGACAATTGGAATCCCAATAGAAAGCGACGGGTGGGTCGTCAGTGCGAGAGTGACATGGAGGAGATCATGCGATGAGTGATTATGGACAATCATGGAGCCAGATGAAGAGGACAGGTGGAAATAGAAGAAAGACGAGATGTGTTGTTGAAGCCCTATGTTCCACTCGGAACCCATGGGGACAATAATAGTGATAATATACTACTGATTGATTGTGGTAAGTGGTACTTGCTAATCCAGGTGGTTAACGGAGTGATCCAGAATGATTAGATTACCGTTTCACCTGTTTGAGGCCGGACTCATCAGCGAAGTGTCAGATTCCTGCTTGGCTACTTTGGCGAACTGGTAACACTATAAATCAAATCTGCATTGTTTTGTGCATTGATACTCGGTTGCTTGTATACAACTTGTGGAATCAAACAGATCCCACATTGTAATCTGAATAATTTCATACTCCAAAGGAAACTACAATGAAATCTCACTTTAGACTGTGTAAATTGAATAATAATGTGATAATTACGAATTTGAGTTAAGTGTTGCCCAAGTTGGCATTTTCCTTAGTGAAGAAAGTTTCGTGACTTCCTATACACCATTTTCATGGAGATTTTACAATACTCTAACAGCTGTACAAATGAAAACTAAAACGTGGTGAACATCTCTGATCTTAAGAATGCCATACAGGAGAACAGTTTTACCGCAACATTTATACCATTAGGTGTTCTGTCAGTGTTTGTTTTTTTAACTTTAATATTTTCAGGGAAAATCGGAGGTACCTCAAATGTTTTGAACCACAAAATACAAAATATTACTAACCTGAACCAGTACTAATACCCAAACCCATAGTACCTGTTCCAGCAACTTCTGCAGCAAGAGCTGATGCAACAGCATCCAGTGTAGCTCCAGATGAATTACCTGCAGTAAGTGAAGATGCTGCTTTAGAAATAAGATCGAAGGGTAAACGAATCAGGTGTGCAGCTCCATCACCACTAGAAGTTAACATTAAACTGTCTTTATTTCGAAATCGGACAGAGTTTACTGAACCTGAATGACCTACATAAACCAGTAAACAACTAAAAATAAACAAAAAGAAAGTAGGAAAATACAATCCAATTAACACAATTATTTCATTAATTTAAAAAATGTGAATAAACTAATAATAGTTGGTAAGTTTATTTTGATTAGAGACTAAGTAGTAATTAATATTACGCGTCTGGTCTTTCGTTTAGCACAAACTGAATTCTATCAATAAAGTTTGCAATATGGCCACCATGATGGATAGCTCTCCATCACGGTGTACACTGGATTATCTCTGACTGCAGCACTCGCTGACGCGGGTTCGAATATCAGAAGGGACATGAGTTCCTTCAAGATTGCAAATGCGCCTTGCTGACGAGTGTCAATAAGCACGAAACCTAGGTCAAGCAGAGCATCCTGGTGACTGCCTCCAACCGTCTAACTACAGTTAGCAAGTTTTCGAAGTATACATTCAAACTAACGACGTCAGAGTGTTCACAGTATACACGAATGAAACTTCACAATTATTGACTGCTTGGTAACTTTCTTCTTGTCCTACACTGACTAACACTTATCTCATAAATAGTTCAAAATCGTGTTAACTTAACTACACCTCTTGTGTAACAGTAACAGCTCCACTAAGTAAGAAGAATATGCACACAGTGCAGTTATTTGATTAGTAGTCTAAGTATTCTTTACATTCACGTATTTATAACTTGACGGAAGTTGACGCCAAAGCATAATCAATTAATAAGTTTAACAATATTATGAGAATTATTAATTATTTATATTATAATTCTTCTCTTGGATTCTGAGTGAAACATAGGCCGTCAACAGCACATCTCCACTCTGTCCTATCCTCTGCAGTCCATTTTAGCTGGCCCAACGACTGCCCATCGTCCCTCATTTCCTCCTCCCACAATCTCCTCCATGTCATCTCCAGACGCCTAACTCTCCATTCCCCATTCAGGTTCCACTCTACGGCCTGGCGTTCAATGTCCCCCAACGGTCTCCTCAGCGTGTGTCCAATCTATTTCCATTTCCTTCGGAGTATTTGTTGAGCAACCGGTTCTTATTTGGTTTGTCCCTTGTTGCTAATTGTAGCTGGCTAGCCATCTGATATTCAATATGGAGCCAAGATAACTGTTGATAAAAATCTGCAGAACACTGTTTTTTTTTTATTCCTTCACGTTCCCAGTGGAACATAGGGCTCCAAGCTAGAGGCTTGAAGTTTCTGTAGCAGTGGTGATTATTTTTACAGGATGAGGTTGCTAGCCTCATGCCCCACCTTTCTTCTTCACCAGCATTATTTCTGGCTTAGTGAGGTAAAGGAGTGCGCCGGCCGGGGATTGAACCCCGGACCATGTGCATGGTTGGCGAGCGTCCTAACCACTATGCCACCGACGCACTGCAGAACACTGTAGGAAATACTTTTTGTGACGCTAGCACCAAGTTTCTGACCCATAATATTAGAAGTGACGTAACATTAGAGTTGAAAATCTAAATCTTCTTCTTTACGCTAACTGAGTGCAGAAAATTTCCAAAATGATTTCAGAGTGATGAAGGACTACTGTCTTCCCTTTCCGATTCTGGTTGTGAAATCCTCATCCGTGCCGTCATCATCTGTTGTTGAAACGATGCTTCCTAGATAAGTGAAGGAAGTGACCTCGTGCAAATTTCTTCCGTTGATAGTGATTGGTACCTGTTGTTGCTGTTGTTGTCGTTGACTGGTTGGTTAATTATCTTTATCACCTGTCCTCTCTAAGTTTACTTGAAGTCCTGTCTTCGCCGCTTTTTCTGCCAACCTGTTGTCTTTCACCTGTAAATCTTCTAGTTTGTATGACGCTAGACATAAATCATCCACGAAAGTCCAGATCTTCAAGAGTCTTATCAGTTCAACGTATTACTACTTATTTAGCCACCTTAGACTGAACAAATGTTAAATTTGTATTTCCCTTTAACTGGTGCTGTTCAACCGAAGTGCTCGGTCTCTGTTGATTGATATGTCGGCTCCTTCAACGTTGTCTAGGGATTAAAGTAACGTGATTTCGGTCGTTGGTGGTAGTAACTAGCAGTGGAATCCAGGAATCCAACAACGGACCCCAAATAGGACGAAATGAGCACTCTGGACTGGAATCCACTGTCAGTCACCACCACCAACCAAAATAATCTCAAGTACTCACGTAGATGAAGCATACATACAAAAAGAAAGTAGATGTATTGTCAAAACTAGCTAAATACTAAATTTAGAAGTAAAGTTTTAAAACAAAAACTAACTTTCAGACACCTTTACTTTTTCACTAGACTAATTTATTAGTATACCGAATTTTGAATAAAATTCAATGCAGTATACCAATCAATATACACACATATTTACCACTTCTTTACCTAACAGGTATTACATTTGTATACGATTTAGACAAGAAATAGAATTTTGTTTCGTAAGAAGCAAATAGACTAATCTTGAAATTCTTTGCAGTAAAATTGATTATTATTTTCATGATCTAAACAGTAAAAGTGATCTTAAATCTCAACATCAATAAGATCTGAAATATTAGACTTGATTAATTGTCTGTTTATGTATTCATCATTCACTTCTCTTTGTTATTTGAGGGTATGCAGATAGTGTATGCTGTCTATTTTTAATGATTAAATGATTAAATATTTTTCTTATTCCTTTTACGTTACTAGCGGAACATAGGGCTTCAAGCTACAGCTTTGAAGTCTCGGTAGCAGTGGTATTTATTTTTATGCGGGTGGGGTTGCTAGCGTCATGCCCAACCTTCCCTCTCTACCGATCTCACTACCAGCTTAGCGAGATAAAGCAGAGTGCATCAGTCGGGGATAGAACCTCAGACCACATGAGTGATTGGCGAGCATTCTACAGCTGTACCACCAACGCATGATAATATATATATATATACAACATAAATTACCACACTTGAAGAAAGCTAAGATTTTGCGCGGCTTTCTTTCAAATGTATACTGATAACGGATTCCTAATTACGTCACAGCTAGGTGACATTAACAAAGAGAGGGTGCTTTTTCTGTCACTTAATGATGCATTATTATTATTCACAGTCTAGAAACTGCATAAGTTCCAATGAGTGCAATAATAACAATTACAAGAAAAAATATTGAAAAAAAACTAGAGATTTAAAACTCAGGATGAGGATAGAATGGGATTCCACATTCTCGCGGACATTTCATCATCAATTTTGGTAATGAATTCAGCAATAAGCTCACTAAAAGTCACCGAGTGAACTAAGTGGTTGTTCAGGTTGCAACATCCCATTTAGCACGTAAGGGTAGAAAAAAGAGATACAAAGGAACTATAATAGGCAGAGTGCGTTGGTGGCTCAGTGATAGGACGCTCGCCGACAATGCATGTGGTCCGCGGTTCGATTCCCGGCCGGCAATCTCCTTTATCTCCACTAGGCGGTTGCAAGTGCGACAAAGATAGGGGAGGTTGGGCGTGAGGATAGTAAGCCCACCCTGTAAAAAACACCACTGCTACTGAAACTTCGAAGCTCAAGCTTGAAGCCCTATGTTCCAGTCGGAACACGCACAGGGACAGAATAAGAATAAAATATAATAAGCAAAAATTTACAGGAGAAATAAGAGTAGCATAGAAAAACTTGGCGGTTTAGTGGATATGGGAGATCACTGAGGACGGTTTAGAGCCATGTCATCAATAGTCCCCAAACATTGGTTCTTAGAATCCTGAGGATCCCAACCAGGCAGCCTACATCTCTCAACGTGGCTCAAATCCCCTGTCAAAGACTTCACAGACTGATGCTGGATTTTGGTCTGACCACTCCTAACTCTAATCCAACCTAATCCTATATCGATTAATATTTCTCGTTCGAGGAAGGCGATGTTATTTATTGGAAAGACAAAATATAAGCAAAGTGAATAAAACCCAGGTAAAACCCATCTTACTTCAACTGGGCATCATTAATCCATAATCGAGCAGTGTTATCCGCTGATGCTGTAGCAATAAACCGTCTAAATGATGTGACTTCCCAAATTCCATCTCGATGTCCAGCTATTCGGCTCATCAGTTGAAAACTACCATTATGTCCGGGAAAAGTACCAGCAAAAACAGCTGTTCCATGTCCGGATGTATTTGTATTCGATGAAGTGATATTTCCAGTATAATTCAAAGAGGTATTGACTGCTGTAGAAAGACTATTTGAAGTTACACCAACACCTGTTGATGTGATTGGTGTTCCCTGCTGAGAAACACAATGTGTATATCCTTGACTCATATTACTTGAAGAGTGACCAGTAGACTGACGAAGACTTGAGACTAAACGCGATGTAGATTGTTTATATTGTTGTTTGATACGTTGTGATAGCATACTTGCACCCACTGAATACACAAAAAAAGACATAAGTACTTTCAGAACCTATTTGTTACAATCACTTTTATACATATCGTTATAGCCAAACAAAACAATTAAGACCCACAATCAAACAAATAAAAAAGTCAACAAATGACCATACAAAGGTCAGTAAGGAAGTAGCAAATTCATTGTTAGGCTGACTGTCAGTTAACCATTCATAGTGTGCAGTTAGTTGTTAATATCACATAAGAAATTATAACAAATACCAAGGTGTTGCACACTTATCCAATAACTTAAGACCTCTTTTCAACCTAAAAAGTCAATCACAAATAGACATTCCTTATACACTGACTGACTGGTTTCAACGTAGAAATTTGCACAGATGTGCAGCAGTTCGAGTTGCCACACTCCCTCCATGTAGCACACAAAGCAAGAGAAGACAGATAATAAACAGAAATATGAGGCAAAAAGAATAGAAATATGGAAGAACAATAGAATTTTATTGGATATGATAAATCACAAAGACTGAATACATCTGCGCCAGCCATTGAGAACGATTTTGAGCTAGCCATATCACCAATTGTTTCCAGCCTCCAGTGGTTTCTACCATCCCGAGGACCCCAACTAGGAAGTCTACACCTCTCTATGTGGCTGGCTTAAACTAAAAGTTGTGGGTTTCATTGACTGATGAAGCTATGTTTTGGTTTGACCACCACTGGATCTTTTCCAACCTGATCAATCCTAAGCCAGCTAGCATCGCCCGTCGAGGAAGGCGATAGTTAGGGTAGTAATGCGTAACACATGTCCTGACCATCTCAATAGGTGTAACTTCACAGCCTCGTCTATTGATTTCCCTAACCCCTCACCTAGCCCTCAACCGATGCCTAACCTCAATATTGCTTGCCTTATTGTACCACTTCACACGAGAGATAGAACGCAGACACCTATGATCAAAGACAGCTAACCAGCCTTTTCATGTCTTCCACTTTCAATGATCATGTCTCACAGCCAGCTATAAAGGAAAACGAATCGGGCTGCTGAGTAGTACACTCACCCTTTGGTTGACAGCCAGCCAGATATCATGTCTAAGCCAGAGACATGATATGGCATTCCTATGTATTCCTATAAGAAGTTATTTTAACACAAATACTTTAAAATGTAGTTCATGTATTTCCAAATTGAACTGAGGCGAAAATGAACCCCATCCACCCCAACCCCCAAAAAAGTTTTGTAATTCACCAATCGCTATGTAAAAAAGTAGCCTGAATATTAAACAGAGACAAAAAGAATTCTGGTGTATTCACAAATCGATATGCTAACACTGAGAAGCCATCATAAAATCAAAGAATCAACTTCATCTTTTATCCGACTTCGATGTCAAAAAAAATAACATAAAAGTAATTAAAACGTGCTTTTATATTTATTAACCTTGATAAAAACAAAATGTGACAGACAAATCACTGTAGGACTTTAAATAAAAGACATCATTCGCACAATTAGAAAGAGTTGACACAGTAGAAGGTGAAAGATACTGAATAATACTACAGTGGGAACAAGCAAGTATTAGATGGAGAAACAACAGTTCCGGATTTGCAAGAATTTTAAAATGATGCAGAGCAGATACATTTGAGTAAAGTCACTATGAAACTCAAACGATTGTTTTTTTAGCTTCTACATAGCCCAGATCAGTAGCATATTATTTTATCAGTTGGTGCCAAGCTTCACTACTAACTACTACCTTCAACTCTTTTTCAATCTGCCCATCACTCCGCTAACATTGCTTGTCAAGGAAGGCTGAGAACTAAGAATGTGTATCACACTTTCCAGTCATTTCAATCGATGAACAGCTTCATTGATTCATTTGCCTTCCATGCTAAAACGACCGAATAAAGTAGGAAACTTAAGTACAATGACACTCAACCCAATGAGGTACCTAAACTTAATACTAAACCCAAATATTGTCTATCAGTACCTAGAACCTTGCTGAGCTACGAAGATAACAGAAGACAAAGGCTGGGTTCTGTGATTGTTAGAATGAAAACCTAGCGAAATCTGGACTATTGAAACCGAATAAAATAAGGAATTTAGGGAAAAGCTAAGCTCAAGTACTATTGTGGTGAGAGCTAGCTGTTAGCCAAAGTTTGTAGACAGTAATTGATATCAATGTTTATGTCCCCAATATTGGTGGTGAGAAAATGAGAACAAAGGCTTTGTTTAGGCGGATACAGTTAGCATATGGATGATCTGACACAGCCACAAAGAGATGCAAGGTTAACTTTCTGTTAGAAACAACCAATCAAAAGACTATTTTCTACTAACAATAATCTACAATAATGTACATTAAAATCTATAAATATGTGTTGATTTTCCTTAATAAACGATCTGTTGCCTGACCCTTATCTTCTGTTGTTACACTATGTGCAGTTACATACAACCGTACAATAGGACGGGATAGGATGACAGTCTTAAAATCTAATATAACAGGGTGGGAGGAGAGAATGATAACTGAAGCTTATTTAAAAAATTCAATACGCGCGCAATAGGAATGATTTAACACTTGACCCTAGCGACAAATGGGAAGAATGAGAAAGATAAAGTGAAAGTTTCGGAGTTGTATGACTAAAACTGATGACTGTGACGAACAAATTGTGTTCGAAAAGTTATCCAGCAAACAATACTGTCTCACTGTGTGAAATATAACCCAAAAACAAATTAATATGGAACTACTTCATTCGACATGAACACACCACACACACAATTATGCTAGGTGAGTAAGGAGAAAATTTATTTTTAAATGGTCCAATAAAATTAGTCTGTGCATATAACAATAGAAATATAATTTTGAAACAAAATCTTCTGCTTCAGCAGTCAATGAATTCAAGTGTTGATTTCAATTTTAGCCGCTCACTATTACTTAAAAAAATCACTCAATATTTGATCTCAACATTGCTTACCATGAGCAACTGAACGTGTGAGGTAAATTAACGAGCTGGTCGTGGTAGTAGGTCAATCCCAAAAGTAAAACAAAAATGTCACATATAACGACAAATTAAATAAGAATAGAGGTATCAAACACTCCTGGCGGGCATTACCGGTTGTCATAATTCTTATGACAGCTCTACATAAGCCTCTTTCGAAAAAGATACATGAGTCAGAATAAAATGTTTTGAGAAATTTCCGACGAGAATTCCCTTTGAATAAAGTAATAACAATACATGTAAGCCGGTGGGTTTAGTGATAGAATACTCCCCAACCACACACATGGCACGGGATTCAATTTCCGGTCGACGCACTACTTAACCTCGCCTTGTCGGTAGCAGGCTTGGTAAAGAAGGGAGATTGGGCATGAGACTGGACACCCCACCCGGTAAAACGAAAAATAAATGCACCCATACTACTGAAATTTCAAAGCTCAAGCTTGAAGCCTTACGTTCCACTCGGAACGCAAAGAATTAAAAAAACATAAAAACACAAGGAGCAGGATAAAAATGATTCGTTTCATTTTGTCGATATCTTCGCCACTAAATACAGCCTTAGCTGAAGTTTCTTAACTTGAATAAAGTACTTTCTCATTAATCCTCATTACAGTTACAAAATACCATAACATCTTTCAAACTAGAAGACCGTCTGCATTATCACAACGTAGAACTATGCACAAAAGTGTATCACTTCAAGTCACCATGCTTTGAAAAATACACACAAAAGTAGAAAAAAGGACTGTGAGCAGTTTAAAATAAAGGAAAATACATACAAGTGCAGATTACTGGATAGAGATTCGTGAGGAATTTCACAATCTGGACTGTGATGAACATATCTGTACCAGTACAAACTATTTTTGATCCGTTAAACCTAGTCTCGATCGGTTGACCTTTAGCATTCCCAGAACGATTTATGTGAATGTACAAACCACTTGAACTACTCTCCAGAGTATTCTGGACAAAATCACAGACATTTCACCTGAGAAATTATTAAAGTTCTTTTTTTTCTTTTTAGGACCCTTTCCTTTAATAAGTCTGAGTACTTACTTGACGAGCGTCAATTAGTATTGATGCCTTTTCCAACTCGTTTAGTCTCTTTCTAACCATTACTGCCCTAAATCGCTAAGAAAATACCAAAGTAATCCTTGTCTCACGGATTATTTTAAGCAGGCGCAATTACAAATGGACTAGGTATATATCATTTCCCAAAAATAATAATAATGAGCACATTAAATAATACACAGAAGGTAGAACTTACATTTTTTCACTAAAGTTATCGTTTCCGAATGATCACCATCTTCAAATTTTTCCAAACGCTCTTGCACTACAACATCATTAAATAAATAAATAAATAAAAATTTATATAACACATTTCAATGAAATTAGTTTAAACAAAATCAGTATTTTGCATGCATGTATTACAACATACCTAGGTGTATCCAACTAATGATGGCTAGGCATTTTTAAAAATTGTATACACACCATATGATAAATTTCAATGAACAGCTGCAGTAAGAAAGCTTAGTTTTTAAATAATTCTTCTTTGTTTACATATATATATATATGTGTGTGCATACTGTGAGATAGAGAAAAGCATAAGCCTATCGAAGAAAGTTTTAGTGGACCCATCAACTTTTAGATTTTTTTTAAAAAACAACCAATAACAGACAGGTGTGCAGGTTCACATTGAGCAGACAAACTTAACCAACATCATGATAACTATCTGCACTGCTGCGTAAAAAAGAGTTGGATATGACACTTAAACTTATTTCAATTCTTAGAGTCAAAAAAGAATCCCTTAATTTTCGTCGTGTTAATCGTCGTGCACATATTAACTGACCGTTGTCAATAAGCTGGAGTGTCTATGAACTACAGTTTTATACTACAATATACAAAGTGGTGTTGTTTCAGTCATTTTCTGAATAAAATATACTAAAATAACTAAAAACCTGAGATAGGTGGTTGGCTTACAAAAAGACTAATAGCAAAACTACTGTCTAAATCATTTGACAAACTTCATATTATTAAACAACACTATAAAATGATACTTTCTACGTATCAGTATTAATTGTAAAATACACAACGATATACTTGATCGATGCGTAATGTTTTTCAAGCATAGAAAGTGTGATAGAAATATCAAATGAACTACTGTCTAAACATTGATCATTATTAGTTGACAAAAAATGCACATTTACCAATTGTGTTGTATTGTGTTGCATGATCGAAAAGTTTATGTATCACATAAATCTCACATTTATGTAGTAGCATTTGCTAACTTATGTGATCCTTGATAGCGGTAAAATATTCGGATACCTATTGCAAAACAATATACACACTAGCTTACTTTACAATTTTTAGCCATGATCACAGAATTTAGACCAATTGCTCAGGTTAGGTGGAACGTGATTAGACAGTATTTAGGTTATTAATATATGTGTAAAACTTGGGCACTGTGGTAGTAAGTAATTCCATATTAGTTTGCTTATTAGATATATCACACAGTGAAACAGTTGCTCCTGCTGCTGGATTCAACATAGAACTTGGTACCGAAGTGCAGCGGTTCGAGTTGCCACGTTCCAAATAGCACACAAAGGTAGACAGGAAAATGAGTGAAGAGAACCAATAGAGTTTAGATAAGTATGAGTGAAACAGAATGAGTAATGGTAGAAAGGAATATGAAGGTTAAAGAGACTGAATACATCTGCGCCATTGACAATGATTTTGAGCCATGTCACCTATTGTCTCCAGCCATTGATTCTTAGTCCCGAGAGCCCCAACCCGGAAGTCTGCATCTCCCTATCTGACTCAGTTTAACTGTCAAGGATTTCATGGATTGATGAGGCCATGTTTTTGATTGGCCACCACTTACTCTTTTCCAACCTGCACCTATATCAACTAGTAATGCCCGTCCGTCGGGAGAGGCGATGGTTAGGCATGCGCAGCACGTGACCTAACCATCTCAATCTATGTAACTTCATAGCCTCTTCGAGTGATTTTCCCTCTTTGCCCAACACTCTACGCCTAACGTCAACATTACTTACCTTATTATACCACCTAATGCGAGAAAGAGATCGTAAACATCTGTGGTCAAAAACAGACAATCTCTTCATGTCTTCCGCTCTCAATGGCCACGTCTCACCGCCATAGAGAAGGACGAAGCGAACTGCTGAGCAGTATACACGTCCCTTCGTTGACAGCCGGATGTCACGCCTACGCCAGAGACGGTGTAAGTTAGCGAAAGCAGCCCGAGCTTTCTGGATCCGTGCTGTGATTTCGTCACCAATCGATCCGTTTGTGCTGATACAACTTCCCAAATAGGTGAAGTGGTCAACATGTCCTATCACTTCACTCCCTATCACTAAGCTAGGAGTTGACGTAGTTCAGTCCTGTAGCAGCATCTTACATTTTACAGGGGCGAATCGCATGCCAAACATACGAAGATTGCTGCTCAAGGTGTTCAGAAGACTCTGCATTTTGTCAGCGTCCTCCCCTAACAGGACTATGTCATCTGCGTATTCTAAGTCTATAAGACTATTCCCTGGTAACAAGTCGATTCCTAAGTCGTTAAGTTCAGTTAAGGATTAGTAGTCAAACAGTATTATTTACTGGATGACGTTTCGAACAAAATTTATTGTTCATAATCATATCAATTGTGATCACACGACTTTGACACTTGAGTTTTATACCTTTCTTTGTTTTCTCCTATTTGTCGTAGGGGGAGTAGAATTTTCCAGATATCGGGGACAGGTGATGAATCATTCCTATTACATGTATTTGCAGTTGATTAGATAAACAAAGCTTCTGTTATCAATCTCTCCCTATACCCTGTGACTTTAGATTTTAAAACTGTCATCCTATCCCATCCTATTGTATGGTTGTGTGTGACTGCATGTAGTGCTATAGCTGAACTATTCTCTAGATTTCTTATTTTATTCGGGTCAACCAATCTAGATTTTGCTAAGTTTTTATGTTCAACTAGTCTGACTACCCCTGTTCTACTAGTTTGATCTATGTATTTGATCAGACAATCATTGCGGGCAGGGTATTAGATAAACTAAACTGTTTTGTTTTAAAGGCTCTACAGGATTGATCCTTTAACCGACTAAGCTTGTTTCTAATTGAGTTTGTGGGTTTGAATGCCGTTTTTATTCCTGCCTTGTTGAGAATTCTGCGTAAGGCTTCCGAGGTTCCTTCCTTGTATGGAATTCCATTCATCACCTGTCCCCGATATCTGGAAAATTCTACTACCCATACGACAAGTAGGAGAGAACAAAGAAAACTATAAAACTCAAGTGTCAAAGTCGTGTGATCACAATTGATATGATTATGAACAATAAATTTTGTTCGAAACGTCATCCAGTAAATAATACTGTTTCACTGTGTGATATATCTAATAAACAAACTAATATGGAAGTATTTAGGTTAAATGTGAAGTACCGGGTGATAAAATAAGACCGATAGATAAAGCTATCAATTTACATTCTAAAGACGTTGCCTTTCTTGACAAGCATTGTTGGCTGAATAAGGGTTAGATTGGAAAAGAGTACAACGTGATGAGTAAAACAGAGCGCTAATCAACGAAGTAATTTACTACGGATCTGAGCCACGATAGAGAAGAGTAAGTTGTTTAGTTGGAAACTCATGGTGAATCTACTTAAAATCGATTACAGTAGTACAGCCTAACCCAGTCTTCATCATCTTAAAAATTCTAAACACCTCCTATAGAAATATTTAACGTTTTCTTTTTTGAAAGTTAAGGCTGACATATTTTTAGAGTTTTATGTTAGCTTATCTATATCTACTTTAGGCAGAAAATGTATACATATAGCCAACTAGAATTCGATAAACCATGTTGACATATTTCTCCAAACTTTGGCAAATTAGTGTTTGTAAAGCTCATGCTGAAAATTTATCTTCATGAAAAGGATGGTACAATTTTTAACTTCATTATTTCACCCCTGTTAATTTATGTCAAAACAGTAGTTTAGTCTTTTCTTGCTTGGGATATGCTTTCTAAAATGATGAATAATGCTCTTAATACATACAGGTTGCACATTTTCACGTTAGACTATAATATAATAAAATGTTATAAATACGCATCAAAGGTCAGTTCACTTTAATTTTACTTGAAACTCTCACGAGTGTCTAGCATAAAACTAAAAAATTTATAAAAATCAAAATACCTGCTTAAGAAACAACTCAACTTGAACAACACTATGGTGTTATGAAGTACAGTAGCATGAATAGGTTAGTATATTTTACACAACTTCATAGATGTGAATCCATAAAATCGTTAACAGAGCTATTCTGAGCCATACAAATAGTTGTGAACTTTCACATACAGGTACGATAATGCACTGAGAATGGATGGCTGCTTTATTTTATTTTATTCCTTTACGTTCCCAGTGGAATACTGGGCTTCGAGCTACAGCTTTGAAGTTTCGGTAGCGGTGGTATTTATTTTTACGGGATGGGATTGCTAGCCTCATGCCCAACCTTCCATTTTTACCAGTCTAATTACTGGCTTAGGGAGGTAAAGGAGTGCGTCGGCCAGAGATCGAACCCTGAGTGGTTGGCGAACATTCTACCGCTGTGCCACCGACGCATGGCCGCTTATTCTACTCGTATTCATTCAGCCAAGATGTTTTACTGCCTCTTTTGTCTAAGTATTTTACTAAGATTAAGATTATCACCATTAAATCCCATTTCTTTTCGTTAATTAGCCTTGTTATATACCCTAACACAACTTAGTTGATATACAAATGTGAAACGGTTTGTCACTTAAGTTTCTTCGTGGAATAAACTGTTAAACATCGAGAATGTTCTGTTTCGTATTTGAATTTTGTCGATTACTTCCTCATCCAAGTATGTGCAGCTAAATAACTGATGAAAGCACATAGTAATAACTGGAATTATGCTCCGAAATTCACAGTTCGAATACTGATCATTCAGATACTAACCACTTTTCCCCATACAAGCGAAGAACCTTCATATGTTTTCAGTCATAAAATTTTATATAAAGTCACCTGTCAAGCAGAATATTGTTCAAATAATAAAGACTCGTTCGTCTATTAGTAAACGTTACCGTTAACTGTAGAGAAAATATCTGGACTTCAGAAATTTTTCCAACACTAATGGTGTAGTACCGCCTACACTGGTAAATCTATCACATGAATAAAGCAGATGGCAAAGGTAGAGCCACAGTTGTTTGAGGTCACAGATACATTTGAGTAATGTGTTACACATATACACACACACACACACAAAGTTTAATTCAACATTCTGTTTTAGAGGAAATAGAATGAAAGTAGAAGAAAGTGAAGAGTTCAGGCCAAGACGTGGTATCAAACTATAAAATTAGTGACTGTTAGTCTACATCACCTGTGAAAATAAAGGTTGTCTGGTTGTCGCTCAGGGGACGATAGGAAACTATGGTCAGACATGAGATGACGTAGCTTGGAATAAATTTCAGCGGTGTAGACGCTTTTACAGCTCACCTTTACCTTAACTGTAATAACGCATTTCTCCACTTGTTTTTACTCTTCCTTTTTAGTTCTGAAGTAATTTATAACCTTCATATTATCTCCATCTTCTGGCGACTTAAACCAGTAGGCGGTCATGCAAGGTGTGCTGATAATGACCGAGTGACTTACAGAGGAAAATAATATTGGTCAATTTGAAATTGTTAACTAGTCAGTAAATATGACAACTAATCAAAATCTTTTGTCAACAATCTTTTCTGTTACATATATAACAAAAAGTAAGAAAAAATTCTAACTACTTACTTTGTACATTCCCTCAAAAGCATTGTCGTTATTTCAGATGTGCGCATGATTTAAATACACATTGCTTCATATCTACAAGCAAACAAGCCTTAGTTCCATTTGAACTCATTACTTGATACTAGGTCATTGACAGTTGATTAAATAAGTACAATAGCATCAAACGACTACATGAGCAAAAGCGAATCACTAGTATAAATATTCGAATTATGGTATACTGACTGAATTGACTAATTTACTCAACAAAGTACTAAACAACTCCAGAAGTGAAAAATACACCAAATGGACATTTAAAAATATGCCGAAGAAAAGAATAAAATGAAAATCAAAACGTAGTAGTATTTCTAACGAAAATATAAAAAAACTAACTGGCTTACATGCTAAGTTCTCACTATATAACCTTCGATATTCTCTTTCGAATTCACGCTCAATTCTCGCAAAATGCTTATGAAGTCTTTGCCTGAATTCACGTGGTAGTACAGATTCAACTGGACCGGTATATTCACCCATCAAATGCCATGTCAAGTAGTTATCTTCCTCAGTAACACCACCTATCACAGAGCCTGGGAGAGTAGTTGCTGCACATGTAGAAACAGGGATGTTAGAAGCCTCAGTAGTAATCATATCTCCATCTGATGGATTTGTACGCAAAGCTGCAAACATGATATGGGCAGCTAAACACCCTTGTGAGTTATTACAGTGCAGTTAGTAACCTATAATATGCAAAAAATCACTGTACAAAACTGAGGAACAAAAATAACAAACGTTGGAGAAAAAACAATGAAATAGGAAAAATCATTTATTTGCTAAATACAGGTAAACTTTGAATATATTGATCCAGTTTCTCAGTAAAAACTTGACTTTTAATCGGTTCTTCAGACTTAACTAGTGGATTCTGTGAAACATATTTAGTGTAAATCTGAAAAATTCCTTCAAGTTCTTCATGCATTGGTGTACAAGAATTATCAGTAGTAAGTACAATTTTCATGAGTGTAGGAGTCTCATAGAAATGAAGACGATATGTATTTGTGATATATGAGAAGCGATTAATTTCGTAATCCAAAGGTGAAATTTTCTGGCAAAATCCTTTTAAGCCAATCAGCATACCACGCATCAACTTCAAATCATTGTTTGACGGACATTCGCCTTGTTTCGTTTTAGTCCATTCACGATAATATAGGCTATCTCCATTTTTCCCATAAATGTACAGATTATATACCGTCATCTAAGAAAATAAGCGATATCGAAGTTAGTACACAAGTTCTAACATTTCTAAAAGTTTGACAATAAAAACTTGTATAATAGCTTCAATATATATATATATATATATATATATATATATATATATATATAAGAAATTATGTCTGTATAATGCATCGGTTCAGTTTCATTACGGAATAAAGAAACATGTACATCCAAAACTAACGGGAAATACAAGCTAACTCTTCTACAGATTGTAGATCTGAGAACTAGTAATTTGTCTGAAACTGACTAGTTTTGACACACGAATAAAGAACCTATTCGAATTCATGCAGTGAACTACCATCGGCCATCTCTTTTCCACTTTTATATTCATTAATTATATATTACCAACATCCTGAACGCAAAGTTTAAAGAGCCACTAAGGGAAATATAGACTGCCCGATTGGGGTCCTCGAGATGTTAAAAACCAATAGCTGGAAACTGTTAGTGATATGACTCATAACCGCTTCCAGTGACGCAGATTTACTCACTCTTTTTAATCTCCCTGTCCCAATAGTTCTTCTTTTCCAACCTGCTGTATTTGTGTGCTACGTAGAATGTGGCAACTTGAGATGATACACTTTTGTGCAAGATTCTACGTTGAAACTCAGCCAGATAGCTTAAAGAATGAATGCCAGCACTGGAAGGCCTGCTGGAATGTCTTGCAAGTTGGTGAACATAACATGTCTACGAAAGACATACACATAAAATCAAGAAACAACTGAGTTATGACTTTCTGTTGATGAGTAGTTAAGACAGAAATGCACAATTTTGCGGGTTGGGGTGAATAAAGCGACCAGATAGCCTTCTAAATTTTAGCTTTGAACCACAGACTTAATAATGCCTAAGAAGATCACTGGTCACATTATTTTGGTTTACGATTGTTTTTACGGATAAATTAACATTACCATCTGTGAAATGCTAAAATATTTATAGCCCATTCGATCACTGTTTACGGTCTTCTCCGATTGGTTATCCTTTCTCTAAGCTGCTTCCCACATATTCAGTATTCTTCAGAAGGGAGATAATAACCTTCAGTTTGGGCAGCGAGCATTAACAATTCAGTCAATGGATAGAAATCTAATGGTCTACATATTTTAATCTCAATCTCTGTGGAACATCTCCACCACGCCAACTATTTCATTCACCAGTATTCGTCTACACACGACTTGATGGACCCCACCGATCACAACTCATGAATTTTGGAAAATTTATTTCGGGTCTTTCTGTTGATGAGCAATAGATAAATGTTTAATGTGAGATTTATACATATTTTTAATGCAGAATTTGTCCCGAGATAATAACAATTACATAACTACTAAAAAATCGGAGATCACCAGATGGCTTTGTCTTCTTTTCGCATATCTACAATTATTTATTATTCATTGGTTTCACGATTTTTAGCGATGTGTAAAACTTGAGTACTATGTCAGTATTTAATTCCATATTAAGTTTTTTCTTGATAAATCACACAATGAAGTAGTTTTTTTTCACTGGATGACTTCGAACAAAATATAGTGTATCATAATCATAACAATACTTCACTGTGAAATATCCAATAAACAAATCAATATGGAATGATCTCCTAGTATCTGCATATCTCAAAACTACAACACCAGTAAACGATTTCTTCTGGAGTCTTGTCAAATCTTAACTATGTCCACATGCTTTTCTACTTCTGATTTGTATACGGTTCAATTCTCTGTCCACTCTTCAAGGGAGATTTAATTGTACCTATTTTAACCGTTCGCAATGAATTTTTAGTTGATTCTCATTGTGATATCGTAAATGAAAATAACCACACTCTCTCAATGAACTTAAATACATGTGACTGTTCCTGATAAGTCACAAATTTTGTAAAAGCTGGAGATACCACCTACTTCTCCAAGCCTGAAGTAGGTATCAAGAGATGGGAAACTGTAGTCCGATGGCTGAAAACCAAGTGTTCAAGCCAATAAGTCACTGAATATGAAAACGTCTAACAGTTTTATTCTTCCTAGGTTCAAACTAACTTAAGATATTGCTGAAGCGCATACCTCATAGTGTGAAATTATTGCTCGACTAAGTCCCCATCGACGTATGAATATCGCGAATGATTGTTAAAGCACAGATAATTTGACCTAAGCAAGGCTAATAACATACCCCTGATTAGTATTTATTTACCTTCTACATTTTATGCATACATTTTATCAAATGCATTATAAACAGAATTTTAGCACATCTATTACTGACATTACTGAAAAATGTTAACGAAAAGTGTTATAATAGCGAATCATTAGTCTCAAAAACACGCTAATATTCATAAAAAAACATAAAAGGCTAGTCAACGAAAAGTAACGCACATATTCTAAACCCGCACATCAACTCCAATATCCAATATCGTTTTTACGAGCTAGTATAAACCAATTTGATTTCTTTGTGCTCGCCTCTTGATTGTGAGGTAGAGGTTCCTGATCTTTGGTAAACGTCTGTGGAGCTCGTCCTGCCACTCGACTGTCGTAGCTTTGGTTGACTCCAACAGGAGTAGTGCTGGGATTAATTATATGGGGTTTGTAGTATGAAGTGTGTTAAGACTGTTACTACTGTGAATGGAGTTGATCCTTTCACCAGTTAGTCTTTCGGTATCGTCGTCAATGGAAAAGAGATAATAATAATAATAGATATAATTAGTAAAGGTATTCAGACTAACAGAC